TTTTTTTTAACTCCCTGTTATGTGGTGTTGGTCTTGGATCCTCCTCCTGGCCAGACAGATCTTATGGGAAACTTGGTTATTAATCAGATTTTGCAGTTTGAGGGGGCGGAAATAATGTTAGAAATTGCTATATAAGGAAAGTTGCAAGCACAAGCGGGTAAGCAGAAAGCTCTCGCTGTCCTTGTGAAATGACTGCAGCTGTTTCTCTGTAAAAACACACTCGTACTTCCTCTGCTGCAACTTCTCACACCGCTCAAGTTCCCCAGGGGAAGTGAAGAAGAAAACTCTTCGGAGAAACAGATCAGGAGTGAGAGAGGTGATGACTGACTGTACCAATGGCACAATTTGGGGATTTTGGGGCATAAAATAGACATGATACCCACATGCTTCTCTAGGTCACAACCATTACTAGCCATCCATAAACCTGAAGCAAATTAAACAGTAAACTTAAATATTTAAGAGGTCTTAAAATCAAGGGAACTAGTTAACAAGGAAAGCCTTCAACTAAGGGATAGCATGTGTTACAGACGAACGCTAGTGCCAACAGGGCAGTAGGGGAATGTGGTACCTGGGTTGCATTCACGGTTTCCCTCGGGCTAGAGGATGCAAGAGATGGCATACAGGCATGTCAGCAGAGGGGTGAGCAGAGGGAAGCTGCTGTGTCACCCTGACCTGGCCACGGCGGGAAGGAGTCCTGACATTTGCCTCTCCACCCTCTCCAAACTGTGGATGTCGGCTGAGCAATACCTGACTAACGCATACCTGAGGGATGCTAGAGGTGGTTTCCACAACAGGCCTCAAACAGCCTTGCCCAGGTCACATTTCTGTAACTGGTTTGGGCTTGGGTTTATTAACCAGCTCTCATGGAGTGCAATGCTCAGGTCACACCGTCGTGGCACAGGGATCGAGGTGTGAAGCCTTTGGGATTAGAAATCCCCTACAGCTCCCCCAGGTATTCAGATGTCTCTGTGCCTGTATCAAAAAGGGCAGCCTTCTGCTAATTTTTTTCTTTTTTTTTTTTTTAAATTGCTGTCAAGACCATTCCTCCCTACCATCCCAGCTGTGAGAAAAGCAAGAGCATGAGCTGATACTCAGATGCTCGGTCAAGTCCCATCCTGCCACAGCCTGAAGCAACGTGCTGCTCTCCTGCTGACGGCTCAGCTCGGCTCCTACTAACCTGCCATGGGCAGGAGCATTCAGCTCAGGCTCCCCAGGCCACACAGTCCCCCTCTTACCCAAACCATGTTCAGTAGATTGACTTTCTCGGAAGCATTTCTTATTCTGCTAGGTCATTCATTCAAATGCCAAAATTGTGACTCATTAAAAGGGCAAGCTTAGGCTGAAGGGGGTGCAGGAAGGAAGAAAAATAGCTTGCGAGAGCCTTCCTGTTTATCCACGGCTTGGGAAAAAACCAGCACAAGAGAACACACACCCCGGCTCCATTATCTGTGCTGGCACGGCGCTGGCTTGGCGCTGTCCCTTACCACTCCAGGCCAAACCCGGCTCTGCCGCGAGCGTGTTTGCTTGAGAGGAGTTTACTCGAGAGAGAAATCTGGCCCCCAGAACCTGAATGCTTGCAGTGCGTGAGTGAGCGGGCAGGCACCGGGAGCCCCCATGACAACACGTTGCGCTGCTGGCCCCTGGCCACACCGGGGAGGTCATTTTCTTCTCGACAATTAGTGAAGTTGTGGCATCGCTAAAAGAAGTTGAATAAACACATTCAACCCGGCCGGGTCCCTGGTTTGCTCTGTTCTCATCACCCTTCCTTCTGGGCGCGCGGTGGGGCCCCAGCAAGCCGGAGCCCGATGCCTGCGCACTGCGCTTTCATTCAGTCCTCGTTGGAAAGGGCTTTTAGGAAAGAGGAGGAGGGGGGGCAATAACCCTTTGGCTCTCTTTTACAAGAAATGTCTTCCCTTTTTCTTTTCAGGGAGAAAAAATGCCAGCTTCTCTAAGAAAACTGCAGCAAATGGCTGTTTTCATGGGACTGTTCAGCGGCGGGGGATGCATCGTGATGTATAATCTTATGCAAAGTAGGTCTCGGTGCTGTTAGCAACCTTATTTCTCCTCTGCCCTTTTCATTTGCTTTTGTGTAGCGGGGAAAACAGCAGCATGCAAGATGTGAAAAGCAGATGAAGTTAGGGGAAGTGTGGCGGAGCCTCTGGGTTCTGCCTCTGTGGGCTCTGCTTTGTTCAGCCCCAGCACTGCTTGCTCTCCCAAGCGCTGTTGCACGCATTCCCAGAGGTGGGTACTGTGTAGGGAGCAGGTTGCTGTGGTTGGGAGAAGGTCTGGTTCCTGAGGATGTGGGCAAAGTGAAAGCTTAGGCAATAATGGAGGTTTTGTTTCTTACTGAGATTTTACAACTGGGCAAGAAAAGAGGACCATCTGTGAGAAGGTCTTAAAGCCTAGCGGTTTTATCTGTAAATCTGTGGTGCTGGCCCTCAAACACAACACGCCTGTGAAATGCTAAGACATCATTAGTTTCTCCTGAGTGAAGGGCAGATAAGAGTGCTTGGCATTAAGAAGACCAGGATAAGGAGAGAAAAGCTAGACAGGTAACATTGCTGTTTATAGACAGCTGTAGTTGCTACATGTCTTTGGCCAAGGATTCGAATTATTAGTTCAAATGATAGAGGCTTATTTTTTCTAAATTGTTTCTAGATATTTAGCATCAGACCAGAAAGGGGCTTTGCCTCTCTCTCTGGGGGTGCTATAGGCCTTTTGGCCCTATGCCTCTCCATTCCTGGTACTATGAAATTATATTGCTTTTCACCTACCCTTACATCAGAGGATGCTGCCAGAAGAGTGTAGTCAAGCCTGTTCCTCAAGCCTCGAGATAAGCTCTGAAATCTCCCCTTCATTTTACACATATTAATACCAAATCAGACAAGGCTGGAAAGCAGGCTTCAATTTTAGGCAACTCTTGCCCTCAGGCTCTGGAGTGCATGACAGATATATGATCCTCTTACACTTTAAAATACTGAATCTGGCTTTAACGAGGATATTAGCATTTTTTTATTTTCAGTTTCAGCATTGTTATCTTGAAATCTCCGGGGGGGTGGGAGGGGGTGTGGAAGTCATCCCCTGTGCTATACAGAAAGTCAAAGGGCTCATTCCCCACATCACTTAGCTGTGCAACCAAGCGGTGCAACGTGATGGCCACTTCTTGCTCTGTTGCAATATCAGTGGCCACCGAGGAGCTGTCTGATAACTCAGTGATAAGCCAGCTGGGCTGTTGAAAGGACACTTTCTGCTGCAGAGTGTGTCCTCCTGCAGCCTCCAACAGACAGGGGAACCACACTGGGACCCTTCCTCCCCTTGGCCTGCACTCAGGGCTATCCAGTTCCTTCTGCCCAGTGCACAGAACTGGCTCATACTGGGACCTGTGAGGAGCAAGTGGCTTCCATGGTGGTGGGAGCAGGAGGAGAGGGGTGCTTCCCTCCCATTCCTTCAGGTTGAAGGGAAGTTTGCATGCACGTGGTCTCTGTGAAAGCCTGTACAAACACTCGGGTAATCCTGTTTTTATTCACTCTCTTCACCTCCACACCCTCCTCACAGGATCGGTCTCCCTAGCCAACCCCATCATCCTTTCAGTTCTCCTACGGAAAACGTGTGGACGAACAGATTAGTTGGACATTTTATGTCCGATACACAAGGTGCTGACAAGGAACAGCTGAGGAGGAGCAACAGGAAACTCGAACCCGTTTCCCCTCCAGCCTGCAGGATGAGCACAACATACTTTTAATGTGGTCTGCTTGCCATGATCCATAGGCACTAAAGGGCTGGTGTGCTGCAGCCCCTTTTACTGGAGCTCCTTAGCATGGCCCAGGGGGCTGGGGAGGACCAGTGCAGGCTGCAGCCTAGCAGAGCTGTTTCTATGCCAACTGGATGCTGCCCGCTCACAGGGGATGCCTCTAATTAGGGAGAGGGGGCAGCATCCTTCTGCCTCATGCTCCAGGAGTAATACCGATAGGCAAGAGAGCAGGAAACACCTTACACCTTGTTTTAAACTCTGTGGAAGGTGAGAGAAGAGTTGCCAGAGTAGGATTTTCACACGTGCACACTCTTAGCTTAACTCTGCCCTTCTTGATGTCGAGAGAGTGAAGTTAGGCTGGCGTGAAGCGCATCTAGAAACCGCAGCAGGAGCAGGCAAGCCTTAAAACTGTTTGTAAGCAAATCTCTGCCTCCGTAAGGCAGGTCAGCACATTTCCAGCCCCACAGTTCTGCATTGTGCAGCGGACACCAATGGACAGCATTTCCCAGCTCTACGTAGCAACCAGACACTGATAAACAGCAGTTCGCCACCATTGTCCTCCATATGCCAACGCTGCAGCATCCAGTCTGCTGCGCTGCTGTTGCTGCTTGACCATGAACTCTCACAGCGCTTCTTTGTGCCTCCCCTTTCATGCATCCGTCAGTAGAGTTGCAGCTTCATGGCTGCCATTTGAAAAGCTGTGTCAAGGCCACAGTAAGCTTCACAGCAACAGCTGTTCCCATCTCCCACCAATGTCTGAAAAATAGTCTCCATTCTTCAGGTATTTTCTGTACCTCCTCTAAAAAAAAAAAAAAACAACAAAACTTAATTGCCTCCAGAACATTTTCAGATATTCATCGTTACATTTTTTTTTTCTCCTTTCCCCTTCTTTTTTTGTTCCTTTCAGATGACATACAAATGTATGAAAAGCAGGGAGACACAGCCATAAGCTGAACTGCCTGTCACCATGGAACAGGCTATATTCAGAGCCCTCTTCACTTAAATGAGCTGAATACCATTACAGTTCAGCGCTGCTTCTCTGATGTAAGGGTGCATTTCCTCCTTTAGCCATAATTCTCCTAATTAATAGTTTTGGAGCGTTTTTCAGGGAGGGTGTGCTAGTCTGAAGGAAATATCTTTCTTTTGTTTTAACTGATAATTTGATTTCAAGGGGGTAGTCTCCTCACGACCCTGTTTCTCTCACCTAGAAAGTTTTGCCAGGACCCAGTACTATCAGCAGGCTTTGGAGCAACTGAACAGCAATCCCAATGCCCTGGAAGCCCTGGGTGCCCCCCCTCTCAAGGTTCACAACATCCGACTGATGGATGGGAGTAACCGTGTGGACACAGAAAGAGCACAGGTAGTGCTGGGGAGGTGGTGTCGCGGGGTGGTGACAAGAGATGAGCTAGGGCATTTTCAGCCGGTCGTGATTGCTTTGGGGGCACGGGAAGGCAGTAGGGTGGGATGCCAGTTGATTTGGAAGAAGAATGGGTTCCCAGAGTGTAAATCTATGCTCTAATGCAAGGGACTAGAAACAGGAAGAACGGTATCTTCATTTCGTGCTGTATGGGTGTCGTACAGACAGCCACTTGCTCACCCCTTTGCTTCCCCCCCCAGCACGATGGGGAGGAGACACGGACAAAAGCGAAAACTCGTGGGTTGAGATACAGTTTAAGAAGACAACAGAGTAAATACTAATAATACTGATAATAATGAATATGCAAAACAAACTATATACAGTTTTCTCACCACCCGATGACCGAGTTGGGGTCAGTCCCCTAGCAGCAATTGCGGAACGCCAAACTCACCGATTTCACAAAATTCACAAAACACCCAAAAAAGACCGAACTCCCATAAAACTTCAAACTCCCGTGAAAGAGAAGATTCAAACTCAGGGAAACAAGAAAGAAAAATTCCTGCCCCTGTGGCCAACCCCCATTCGTAAACTGAGCATGGTGTCTGTGGTATGGAATATTTCCCCTGGCCAGCTTGGGCTGGCTGCCTGGCTCTGTTCCCTCCCAGCTCCTGCACACCTGCTCGTTAGCTGAATATGGGGAACCAGAAAAAGTCCTTGATTTCATAGCAACAACTAAAAACACCAGTGTTATCAGCATTCTTCTCGTACTAAATCCAAAACACAGCAGGTACTGGGAGGAAGATTAACTCTATCCCAGCCATAACCAGGACAGTGGACACAGCACAGAACGCCAAGGGACCTCCCAAGCTGGTCAGTCCCCCTCCTGCTGCTGTAAGCCACAAAATCATTTCCAGAGACGTATCAAAATCCATCTTTAAAACAGCAGCTGCCTCCGTCTCCCCGCCGGGTACGCCCCACTCTAGTTTCTAAAAGCCTTGTTCAGAGCCCAGTTCTACGGCCGCTCACCAGCTGCGCTGTGGTACGGCACAAATGGTGCTGCGATTAAAGCACCCCAAGTCTGCGCCGTGGAGGATGGTTGCCCGGCGCGGGGCTGAGCGTGCCGGTTACGTAGCAACTGGAGAACGCTGCGCTGCGTGCTGAGGTATTGCACAAGGCTGCCTTGCATCAGCCCAGGGCTGGGCTGAGGCAAACCTTGCAAACGCAAGTCCACTTCCACTCCGGGCTGCTGCCTGAAAGGGACTTTCCATCAGTGTTTGTACCCTTTATTCCAGGGCTGGCTGCCCCTCTGTGTTTTTCCTAGTGACACAAAGTATCCCTACAGACCTCTCCAGGCAACTCTCTGAGGGATCTCGTCACATTTCAATAATTTTATTCCTCCTGGTGACTATTTTTGAGTCCTGGGAACCAAGCAAGGACCGTAAGGAATGGGGCAAATGTGCCCTGAAGGAGGTGGGTTGTCAGGGCAAGAAAAATCGACCTTCAACCAACTCACATAGAATTCCACTTTCCATCTCACTCCAGCCAGGCATCCCCCACGTAACACCCTGGGCGAAAATGTTTTCCAGGTTTTGGAGATTTTGCCAGACAACATATCCAAGGACAAAAATGCAGGGAAAACACACCACCTCTTATGCTGACTGAAAAGGAGAAGAGAACCTGTCCCACCAATGTGTTCCTGTGTCACTGTTTAAGCACTCTGGTTGCTCGGGTGACTCAGGGTGAGGTCAAACCCTGCCTTCTACCGACCTCACCCAAGACACAAACCACCAACTTTCTTCTCTGCTATTTCATTCTCCTGAGCATTCATATTCTCATGAAATAAACTAGTTAATCATCATCAATGATTACATCACAGATCTATTTACTGACTCTACAACGTTCCCAGCTCCTGGGCCTGCTGAAGAATCACTGGCATTTTCCCTTCATGATTACAATACCACCAGCAAATTCTACACCTGAAACTTTTGTTAAGCTTTAGACCGAGTGCAATTAGCTGTGGTCACAGCTGCAGCTCATGGCTTTGTTTGTTGAACAACTGAGTGGTAGAATTTATGACACTGACAAAAACCATTGAACATCTCATTGCCTTGATGCGTGTTAATGGGCTGATCTGTAGAGGCTCCCAACCTACAGGCTTCCTATGGTGATGGGAAGGTCTAGCACAGAGTAGGTCACCTCTGGAATACCGTGCATGCTGCTAAGGAAAGGTGTTTGCTCCTAAGTATTTCTGAGAGTGAGTGGTTTTCCCTGGGGGTTGCAGCTGTAACACAGTACATTCTTTCAGCAGAGAGAGATTAATGTATGGCAAAACAGACTTGTATAGCCACGCACATGTTAGCCGTTGGAATAGCTTAGTGAAACTCTGAAATACAGTTTTAAAAAAATAGAGTTTAAGTTGAAAAGAGGGTGTTAACGTCTTTGACTGTAGAAGGGGTAAATGTCCCCTTCGTAACGTGGTTTACTGAATCTTTAATGTACTTTTACATTTGCAGATCAAGCTACCAGTGTCTGGAGCAAAATCAGCAGGGGACCTCTGTATTAACTCAGAGATGGACCACTCCCGTCAATGGTGCGTGCTGGGGGGAGGGCTGGGAGAAATGTATAGGTGCAGGGAGAGAAGTGGTAGGAGAAAGAGAGCGGAGCAGGATATTTGCTTTAGTCATCCGCGTTGCTGAGATCAGGCACACAAAGGAAGCGGAAGTTCACATCTGAAGGCCTTGTGGAAGGTTATTACCATCATTACGACAAAAATGTAAATTAGTTGAGAAATGTATTGAGTTCATCCCTATGAATACAAATAGAAGAGCAACATGAGCCATTCATCTGTGTGATATGTGTTCTGCCAGCTATATCTCAGTATACACACAAATGCCGTGAGCCAAGGTAGCATATTGTCCCCTCCCACCCCTCCTCCCCGAGGAGGTGCAGAGGCCGTTGAACAGCAGTCCCAACTCCAGTCTAGTATTGTGTATTGCAGTAGGGGAGTGACACATTACATCACAACCTATCAAGGTGAGCTGAAAGTCACGCAGGAGGTTTTTTCAAGCTGTTCGGTAAATGCGGTCCTTGTAGTTAAAAACTAGCGCTAGAACACATCCATTACAGTACAAGGATGCTCTAACTCCACATCATGTAGTAGCGACTTTACCTTTTTATAGCGCTGAGGCCTGAAAATCCCCCTTGTCAAGGGTAAACTGATCTCTAGAACCGAGCAAAGAATTACTACGTGAATTCAAAGTCTGTCTTCCACTGCAGAAGAGGATATTCCATTAGACGCAAGCCTCTTTGCATGTACTTGTTCTTGCAGTTTGTTAGGCACTTCCGTTAGCTCTATTTAGAAACCCAAAGCTACAACATTTTTGTGCAGCTGCCACCAGCCGTATGGTAATGTTTTCTTTTCATAATTAGATGAGCACGACTTACTGAATTTCTCTTCCACGTAACTATGGGAAGCAAGGTGTAAAATGACTCAGGGCCAGACCTGGCCTCCTCCCTGGTGACCAGAGATACCCCCAGAGGTCCCCAGCCACCTTTCTTGCACACCTACGCTTCTCCAGCGCCTGGGCCCTGGTCTCCTCACTCCTCCTCATCCCCTCCTCACAGATGGAGGGAAGTAACAGTTTCCTCCTGTTTCACTGAGTTACTGTGAGGACAACTGAGGATTGCAAGATGTTAAACTACGGCAGTAACTGAAGTCCAGACATATCTCTCATATCTGTTTTGTTTTAAAATGAGCTCTGCATGTGTTTCTGCAAGCTTAAGAGGAAAAAAAAGCCAAAAAAACCATCTTTGATAAAAGGGTTTACGGCAGACTAACCTGTCAGACTCAAGCCTC